CAGGAGGAGGCCCGGCCACAAGCCTCCCCCTCCTGGGCCTCCTCGGGGACTGGGCTCCCTGGGAGGCTCCCTCGCCTGAGGAATGAGGCGGAGTAATGCCAGGCCCTGGGCCCTCCAGAGGTTGGGAGAGGCCTGGCCTCGTTGCAGTGTGAGAGGTTCTCCATCTGTTACAAAATGAAGAAATGCCATCACAGGGTTACGAGTTGTGGTTTAGTTAAGTCTCAGGATGAGCATCTCTGGGTCTCACCCGTGTGCCTCTGGCTGCGGATCCTCATTGAGAGACAAAGGCCAAAGTCTGTACTTAAGGGTGTGGGGGGAGGGTAAACGGTGACGGAAGAAGACTCGACTCTGGTGGTGAACACACAGTACAGTATACAGATGGTGTATTGCAGGATCGTACACCTGAACCCTACATAATTTTATTAACCAATGCCGCCCCAATGCAATCAATAAAAAATGTAAACGTCGACATTTGAGGCCCCTTGTGACCATGAGACCCGAAAGTGCATCTTGTCCACCCCCTCCCCCAAGCTCCCACCTTTCGTGCCAAAGAACTGAGCGTCAGCGATCTTTCGAAAGCACAGAGCTTCCCAGTTGACGAGGTGCTCTCTCAGACAGATTGCACGGGGTCCCCCGAGCTCAGGGGGAAAGGCAAGGGCATCATCTCACTTACAGCCACAGAGGTGGGTCGGGGGAGGGCAGGGCTCTGTAGCCTGCAGCCTCGCCGGCAGCGGAGGCCAGGCCCCCAGCACACTGCAGCAGAGGCAGGCGGAGATGGGTTCCAGGGGCTTTAGCCCAGTAAGTCGGGGCCTTGGGAGGACTGCTCTTCCTTTGCTCCACTTACTGCCGCGTCTCCTCCTCCCACCAGATGGAGAGGCTGGGAGCGATTGGGTTAATTCAAGCTGTGAAGTGAGCGGGTGATTTGGGTGCTAATTAAAATGACAGGAAGTAAACACCGCTAGGAAACACCCAGCATGTGCCCCTAAGGCCCTGCTTGGCCTGCACACTCACCACCATCTCTCCCCCAGCTTGGCACGGTGGGCTCCGTCTCCATGGCAACTGCACTGAGCCTCAGAGATCAAAGCAGGAGATGGGTTAGCTCCAAACTAGCGGAACCAGGAGCATGTCAAGGGGTTTCTGGAAAGTGCCTGGAGAAGGGGGGGCCCAGTGTCTTCCCCCGCCACTGCCGTCCCCCCTCTCTGCTGCAGGACCCCTGCCTGGGGGTTGAAGCAGAGCTGGTGGAATGGGAGAAACCTCCCCGGCTGGGATGGGGCCTTCTGGGTCCAGCCCCGGGCCTGGGACTGTATGGAGCAGTACCGAGTCCTGGTTGGGAGGTACAGGTTCTGGAATCACAGTCCCGGGGCCCCCAGTACTCTTCTGCTGTGCAATTGATGTGTGATCCTGAATAAGTGCCTGAACCTCTCCAAGCCTTGATTTTGTTACCTGAGAAGTGGGGTAACAATAGTCATTTTCTCTTAAGGTCGTTGTGAAGAGTAAATGAGCCCATGAACGTAAACCGCTTAGTGCAGCACCTCCTCGCGGAATTGCTAGAAAGACGTGAGCTGTTATTCTTGTGCTGGTGCTGGTGCTGGGCATGGACAGAGGAGCTGTATATGGTCTCTGTCCTCAGTGAAGGGTTCTTACGGGGGAAGAGACGTGTTCAGAACTGTGTTATAGAGAGATCCCTGTGCCTGCAGCAGCGTGAGGGGGTGTTATAGAGAGATCCCTGTGCCTGCAGCAGCGTGAGGGGGAGGACTCGGAGAGACCCCCCTGGGGAACGCTGCTGGGATTGCAGCCACGGCTGGCAGGGAAGGAGGGGGGCTGTGATGAAGGGAGGCGAGCCAGAGAGAGGAGGAGGGGAGTGGACAGGAGGGGGACAAGGGCAGGGCAGCTTCTTTGGCTCCATGTTGATGTCGCAAGATTGGAGAGGGCGGGATGCTGTGCAGCCAGAGGAAAAGGCCTGGAAGTCAGGAGCCGGTTCCGGTTCCGTGAGCAGCGTGTCCTCAGGCAGAGAGAACATCAGCTGGCTGTGAGGCTCCCTCCCGGGGAGAGGATAGCTGCTCCTTTCACCTCAGGCTCCGCTGGGAATGAAGACAAGACAGGACCCCTTGGGCACCGGATGGTTTAAGGAGCTCTGTGGGGGGTTCTCACGTGCAGCCCCAGCTGAGAGGTACCCTGGCACAGAGGGGGACTCAGCCCCAAGAGGGGAAGTGACTTGCTGAGGCCCCACAATGAGCCACGTTTAGAGCAGGCTCTGGTCCAAAGCCCTCTCCACCTCCCTGCCCCCCTCAACAAGAGACCCACCTACCTGCAAGGGGGGCTGCAGGGTCCCCTTGGGTCCCGCCTGGAGTCCCGGCTCACGCTCTCATCTGTTGCTCTGCCTCTGTGAGCCTCAGCTTCCTCGCTTTTTAATGGGGTTGATCCTAGCCGTCCTGCCTGCTTCGCAGGATTGAGAGGGAAAGGAAGTCAGACACGAAAACCTATTAAAGAGGACCCGCTTTTAACGCACCGGGCGTGTTTCCCTGAGCTGCCGTGTGCAAGGGTCACGGCTGGCTGTGCTGACCCGCTGAGAGCACCAGGTGACAGACATGCTCGTCCTTCGCCCAGAACTTTGGATCTCAGCCTGGGACCCATCCTCCTTCCGACCCGCCCAGCTCTAGAGCGGAACCCCTTTTCTCAGGGGGAATGAGACCCCCCCACCCCCACCCAGCCGCCCGTCCGTAGCAAAAGCAGATGGAAGGCACCGTCTTCCCCAGGAGACCCTGCCGCCTGGAGCCCTTTGTCAGGCCATTTCGCACCACGGCCAGCGGCCCACTGGGCACCATGACAGACGCTGCGCACAGAAAGGCACAGTCACACTCGCCAGCCAGCACCTCTTTTCCGCTTATAGACGGGCCTGCCCCATCGGCCGCGGGGGCCCGTGTGTCCCGGGTGCTGCCTCTACCCCTTCCCCGGACTCCCCTGGGGAGACCTTCACTTCGCTCTGGTCTCTGCTGCCCCGTGGTGGCCTCTCTCTTCCCTCCAGGTCTCGCTCTACCTGTTTTCTGACCCCCCACCATTTCCTCTGCCCAAAGTCCATGGCCTCTTCTTCTGCTACGATAGCTTTTATTTGTTGAGTGTTTTTTGGACACCAAGCACCTCCCAGGCGCCATCTCCTTTCATTCCTGGAGTCCCAGGAGATCGGGGCCGTGCTCCCACAGCCAGCTGCTTGCCCAGCGGCGCTGCAAGGGAGGTGGGATCCTGTGCGACTCCGGGCCCTCTCCTCACCCCTCGGCCCGCTGCTCCCACTCCTGGGCGTGAGGCTCCTGGGCCCCGGAGCACTCAGCCTCCCTCCACCCACCACGTGGACACAGCGCAGCTGGAACGGAGGACAGCACTGTATACAGCAGGGGCTCGATCCCTGCAGGCTGACCAGGGGAGGAGAGGGAGGAGTGGAGATAGCTCCCCGCCAGGGCTCTAACGAAAGAGCTGGATGGTGAAATCTCCTTTCTCAAGGCTCCCTCTTCCCCGCCCACTCTCCCCTAGATTTCTAATAAAAAGTTCTCGGTCTTGACCTTCGAGACCCACTTTGTACTGAGCTCCAAAGGCTCACAGCATGGCTGGGGGTTAGGCGGTGGGGTGGGTGAGAGTGTGGGTGAGCCGGCCTGGAGGCCCTTGGCTGACACCATATGCCCCCCCCCAATTCCAGTTCAGGTGCAGGTGGGTCTGGGCACACAGGGCCCCCCCCCATTCCAGTTCAGGTGCAGGTGGGTCTGGGGCACACAGCCCCCCCAATTCCGGTTCAGGTGCAGGTGGGTGTGGGCACACAGCCCTTGTTGGCTGGGGACAGCCAAGTCCCATCCTCCTCACAGCCTGCATGCACTCCCTCCGGGGACGAGGGAGCAGCGGGAAGATCCAGATTTGATGGCGGCCCTGCTTGTGCTCCGACCTTGTAACCCTGGCCGCAGCCCTTGGCCACTCTCAGCCTCCACTCTCATCAGGCGGAGTGGGCACCGGAGAGGACGCTCTGTCCGGAGGATTCCTGGAGAGGAAGGGCCGGGTCTGGGCTGGCCTCCCTGGGCCCTAGCACATGCGGGAAACTGGGCTCAGCTCCTAGCCCTGCGGTCTCCTTAGGAGCTTGCCTGGGGCTCAGGCAGTTCCCTGAGGAACTGGGTGGGGCCTGAGCCTGGCGCTGGGCTGGACTGTCCAGTGCCCGGGGTGGCCCTGGCCAGGTTCTCCGGAAGCCCCTTCGGAGGCTTTCCTCCTGCTGCTCCTGGGCTCACGGACAGCGGGACACGTGGCTGCTTGGACATGTGGTCGGGACAGATGTGGGCAGAGTGAGGAGGAGAGAGAAAGAGGAGAGAGACACCGAGGGATGTGAACAAAGAGATGCACGGGAAAGCAGGACAGAAAGAGCAGGGCTGGTGCAAGCCACCGCCTCCTCCCAGGGAGCGGTCTGCTGGTTTCTTGCCTGCCTCTCTCCCTCCCCTCCCCTCCCTGCCTCACCCCCTCTCAGTGGAAGAGTCTGGAAGATCAAGTGGGAGGGAGGGCCTTCGTGCTCAAGTGAGAACTGGAGGCTGCTGGGAGAAGTGGCTTTGTTACTTTGTTCCTAGATAAAAACCATCTGGCATTGGGTGAGCTGCCTGGAAGTGTCCCTGTTCCCTACTGTTGCTTACACGTGTGCTTATATGCCACGCTCATAGACGAGGCCCTGCACGCCTGCAGGCGCTGTGTGCAGAAGCACAGTACACACCTGACCACGTGCACTCTACCGGGGGGCTGACCCAGTGCCTGCTCGGCCCTGGCCACTGTCCCTGGCCACTGTCCGGCCTTTCAGCCGTGGTGCCTGCCCTCCTTTGTGCCCCTGGCTGCCCCCATGTGGCTGCCCGGTGATCAGGAGCCCTGTGCCCTCCCCCCCCAGGCCTGACAGGCATCTGGCCCCTTCCCACCTCACCCCTGCACACCTCTGACCCTTGGGGGGACGGGACTCTGGATGAGTGGGCAGTTGTGTGTGGCTCCTCATGCCCCTCTACCTCCATCCAGAGGAGGCCAGCAGCTGGCTCCTTGGCACCGCCAGCCTCCAGTCCCCAGAAGCCCTCCTGCCTGCCTGGCAGAGCTTCCACCGGAAGCACCCTGTTTGCCAGTTCTCAGCAATGCCCCCCCCGCCCCCAACTGGGGACAGGAGGGAAACCAGGCGTGTTGGGAGTGTCCTGCCAGTGAGCTAGGCTGCGTGGAGCTGCTCTGCCTCAGCCACTCCTCGGCCCACGGTCCTGAGGCCAGAGCAGGTGGGGCGTGACCAGCCAGGTGCCTCCTGTCTTGGAGTCTGTATGTTGTAGCCAGAAGAGAGGCGTGTGCTGGTGTCAGGAGACCTGGGTTCTGTGATGGTGCGACCTGGGTCAGGCCATTTCCTGTCTCTGGGGTTCCAGCCTCTCCTGTACACCGAGGGGCTGGGCAGGATGACCTCAGAGGGCCGTTCAGGACCCTCGGAACCTGAGGGCTTGTGGCTGGAACGTGGTACCTGAGGACGCTGGCCCCCTCGCTCTCTGCACCGTCTGAGCTCTGCAGGAGAGTCAGACCTTGAGGGAAAGCAGTCCCCGGGCCACCCTAGGGAGGGCCTCCTTCCGCCTCAGTCACGGTGGGCACGGCCAGGGGAGGGACTGGCAAGGGACGCACCCTCCCTTTGTGAGGGTGGTGTTTCTGCGGCACCCAGGGCACAGGTGTGAGAATCACTTTTCCCAGGTGCTATGGGCCCCTCAGACCTCGTCCTGATGGTGGAGACAGGGCTGAGCAGTTGGGAACAGCCTCAGGGTCAGGAGGAGTGGGATGGGCCTCACCCCTCAATGCCATGGGCCTCACCCCGACTGCTCCTGGGCTGACCCTAAGTGGGCCAGGTCTTAAGCTGTCTGTGGTGAAGACATAGGGATACTGGCCTCCAGTGAGAGGCTCTAGAGGTCAGAGGACCATAGCAATGAAAGGCCAGTGCCCAGTGCCCCACAGCCACGTGATGAGGCGGGGAGCCCAGAGATCACGGGTCTGAGGGTGGGCCTCACTGAAATCCCCATCTCTCCCTCTCTCCTGCTTCGTTTCCCACGGCCTGCTGCTGCTCCCGATCCCCAGGAGGTGGAGGTGAGTACTGCCTGGGCCCAATTGCATATGATCACTCTGCAGCCACATGCTCCACTCCCCCCTCCTCTCTTTGCACCCTCACCCTGACTTCCCTGTAGCATTCAGTGTGGGATTGTCCGGGGGGTGGGGGGGAGAGATGGGGAGAGGATGGGGGTGGAAAAGGAACTTATGGGAGAAGCTGGAAGGGATTCTGGACATGGGTTTAGGGGTTTGGGGGAGGCCGCTGGCAGGGCCTGGGTGGACAGGGGTCAACTGAGCAGCCACCAAGATGGTGAAAAATTTACATGTGCAAGCAGTAGCCCAGCCCTGTCCTCCCTGGGCCTGGAGTTGAATCTCCACTCTGAGGTGTGAGTCTTAGCCCTTCCCTTCTCCTCCCCCTCTGTCCTTTCCTAGGATGATTACATCAAGAGCTGGGAGGACAGTCAGCAAGGAGATGAAGGTAACATGCCCCTGCCAGGCCAGGGAAGGTGACTGACACCCAGGAAGCCTTGAGGCCAGCGGGCAAGTCCTGACCCTGGGCAGCCAAGGAGCTGAGGGGCTCTGGTTATCAAGAGCTGCTGGAGGCAGGGACTTGGGGGCTCAGAAGCGAGGCTGGGGGCTCCCGGGATCTCTGGCACTGACTCCCAGCTGACCTGAGTTCTGACCGTGTGCCTGCAGCCCTGGACACCACCAAGGACCCCTGCCAGAAGGTGAAGTGCAGCCGCCACAAGGTGTGCATCGCCCAGGGTTTCCAGCGGGCCATGTGCATCAGCCGCAAGAAGCTGGAGCACAGGTGAGCGGTTTGGGGAGGCGGGAGCCCTGGAGAGGGTTTGCTTCAAGAGCGAGGGCTTGACACCCTCTCCCATGTATTAGTTACCTATTGCCGGGAAACAAACGACCTCAAAACGTAGTGTCTTAAAGTAACAAATATGTGTTAGCTCACATTTTATGAGGGTCAGAATCTGGTTCTGTCAGATGGTTCTGGCTCAGGGTCTCTCACGAGGTTACAGCCAAGATGCTGGCAGGGCTGTATCATCTGAAGGCTGGACTGGGGCTGGAGGATTCACCCCCAAGCTCCCGGCACAGCTGTTGGCCAGAGGCCTTTGTTCCCAGTCACAGTGGGCCTGTCCGTAGGGATTCTTGAATGTCCTCACACCATGGCATCTGGCTTCCCCTAAGGCAGTGGTCAGCAAACTCATTAGTCAACAGAGCCAAATATCAACAGTACAACGATTGAAATTTCTTTTGAGAGCCAAATTTTTTAAACTTAAACTATATAGGTAGGTACATTGTTATTAACTTAATTAGGGCACTCCTAAGCTGGCCTTTGCTAAAAACATCCTCAATCTGAGGGGTCGACCTCAGCGAACGTACCCCCACTTCTTCTAACACCACTTATTCAAAATAGACTCGCCCAGGCTGAAAACTGACTTCTGTGCATGGGCCACGAAGTTTCAATCGCACTGTACGTGTGTGCCCGCACGTGGTATTTTGTGGAAGAGCCACACTCAAGGGGCCAAAGAGCCGCCTGTGGCTCGCGAGCTGCGGTTTGCCGACCACTGGTCTAAGGTGAGCCACCTGGGGAGAGAGTGAGCAAGGGGGAAGCCACATCGTTTATGACCCCGTCTCGGAAATCCCGCGTTACTTCTGCCACTTCCATGTGTTAGGAGCGAGTCAGAAGTACTGCCACTCTCCAGAGGCGGAGAATTCAGCTCCATCTTTTGAGGGGAGGAGTGTTAGAGAATCTGTGGACAGATTGAAGGCCACCACACCGAGAGATCGGTCACCAGACCTGTGGGCCCTGGGAAAGTCCTGGCCCTTCCCTGGGCCTGGGCGTCCGCATCTGTGAGACACATAGGTTGGCCCGGATCACTTGAGGTTCCTTCCAGCTCTGACCTGCAATGACTTCAGGAGAAGGTTAAGGTTGCAGCTTCTGAGGCTCGAGGAGGGGGGAGGGGCATTAGAGGCCTTAACTGTAGCCCAAGGACAAGACCCTTCCTGGTGCCAAGACGCCTAGTGAAGGTCCCAGTTCCCTCCCCTCTTTTTCTTCATCATAGACTCAGAGACCAGAGACTTGGGGTTAGCTTTAGCTGCCCACAGGGGCCGGCAGGCAGTGTAACCTGTGAAGAGAGCCCAGTGACGGGCCACTCCAGCGAGCCCAGGCCCTGTGGCAGGGGCTGTGTGGGAACTTTGGACCAGGACTGTCACACTTTGCAGAATGCCCAGTGGTGAAAGGCCAGGAATGCAGTCTTTTATGTGAACTCTTCTATTTTGTATATAATTCAATTAAAAACACAAACTCTGATGGCCAAATAAAATGAGTCTGCAAGGCAGATATGGCCTGCGGCCCATCAGTGTGCAACCTCTGATTGGGTCTGACCCCTTAAGCGAAGTGTGACCCCCTTTTACGTCTTACAGCAGAGCCTGGAATTGCTGCCCCAAGGCCCTGCTGACTCAGTAACCCCACAAAGGGGAGGGGAGTCTATGCCATGTGAGCGGGAGGGTCTGGCTGGAGGTGATGGGGTGGCTGGCGCGGGCAGGGGCACGGCTGCATCTACTCTGGATTGCCGGGACCAGTTCTTGTTGGGACCCGTCTCCTGAGCCCTCTCTCTCCCTGCCCTCTCTCATTTTCACCTCTATCCCGTGCCTTCCCCACCCCTCTCCTCCTGTAGGATCAAGCAGCCTGCCCTGAAACTCCACGCAAACAAAGATACCGCCTGCAAGCCCTGCCACATGGCCCAGCTGGCCTCCGTCTGCGGCTCTGACGGCCACACTTACAGCTCCGTGGTGAGGAACCCTCACCCCATGGGGATGGGGGTGGGATGCACTTGAGGCCACAGGGAACAGAGGACTGAACAGCCATCGGGGCCTCCTGAGGGACTTCCAGGGCAGATAGGGGTCCTGCATTCAATGTAGCCAATCAGAGCAGGAGCACCTGAGCCCTGGGCTGGGGCTACCGAGGTTCTGCACCAGACCCTGCCCCAGGTCTCAGGCAGGTGCAGGCAGGGGGTGGGGCTTGGAAGAGGCAGGTGGGCAGGTGACAGGAGTTAGAGCAGTGGTTCTCAACCTTCCTAATGCCATGACCCTTTAATACAGTTCCTCATGTTGTGACCCAACCATAAAATCATTTTCGTTGCTACTTCATAACTGTAATTTTGCTACTGTTATGAATCGTAATGTAAATATCTGATATGCAGGACTTAGGCGACCCCTGTGAAAGGGTCGTTCGATCCCCAAAGGGGTTGCGCCCCACAGGTTGAGAACCGCTGAGTTAGAGTAAAGGAGGAAAGAGCCTTCTGACAGTCCCAAGGGCTGTGGGAGGAAGGAGCTCTGTGGTCCAGTGACTGGGGGAGAAGGACAAGCTCTCCACCAGCAGGTTCCACATGGAGGGGATGGGGCTCACCAGCGAGCCTGGGCATCCTGGGGCAGAGGAATTACCCTTCCAGGAGGTGACGATGTGGGAAGGAATTCCCACCTTATGGGGTTTTGTGAGGATTAAATGATACAATGTCTGTGAAAGCATTTTATAAACGTTAAAAGGCCATGGAAGTACGGTGCTAACTGTGAGTGCTTCTAGCAGCCACGAGGAGTTGGGGGTTTGGAGGACGCTGACTGTTGGCTTGGGTTGGGATCTAGGGCTTAAGACGCCTTTGGGGGAAACGTGCAGATTTAAGAACCGGTCCGCCCTCCCTGGGGGTGATGAGTGAAGTAGGGTGGGGATGAAGTCACCCTTTAAGGGAGGGAGAGGAGAGAATAAAGCTGGAGGCTGAGGCCAGGAGCTGCACCGAGAAGGCAGGGGGAGACCAAGGAGACAGGGGCTGACAGAGGGCGCGGGAGTCGGAGAGGGCTATGGTCTGAGGGTCAGGGTGCTGCCCTGTGGGAGGTAGAGGCACCAGGAGGTCTGGCTTCCATCCCAGGCCCTGAGCCTCTCTGAGCTCCCCATGTTCTCTGCTGAGCACGAGAAACACAGTTCTCTCCCAGAGCTGAAGGGACCACGCGAGATAATGCTGGAGACAGCACTCCGCCCGCCTCGCCTTACGCAGACACCACCAGGGGAAAGCTTTAAGGGCAAGGAGTGGAGGGGGGGGGGGTCCCTCAGCAGCTGGCGTTGGCTAACAGCTGCAGCCCAGTGGTTTCAGTGAAAGCTCAAGAATTAGCAGATGTTCGATAGCCGCAGCTGTTTGTTGTCAAGAGAGCTGAGCAAAGCCCATGGAGGTGGCCGTGGGAAGGCCATTGAGGGAGGGGGCCAGCAGCCAGTGACCCAGGGACCAAGGGACTAGGGTGAGTGGGAGGAGAGGCCGTGAGAGCAAGGAGAGGGTGAGCAATAGCTAAACAGGGCAGGTGGGTGGCTGGGGGTGAGAGGATGAGGACATGGGTGTCCTGGGAAAGAGAAAGGTGCAGAGAGGGCAGTCTGGTGCCGAGTGGGGCTCTTGGGCGCCTTCCATTGCTAAGCCCTTCCTGGGCCTGCTGCCCCTGCACTGTGCGCCCTTGGCCACCAGAGGGACCAGGTGGGCTGTTCATGGGCGCTCTCCTCCTGTCAGTCATGGGGAAGGCAGATGTGGCTGCCAAGTAGATGCCCCCAGCTGCAGGGCACCCTTGGGTGAGACCCCATCGCCCACTGACCTTTCGCCTTGAGCAGTGTAAGCTGGAGCAGCAGGCCTGCCTGAGCAGCAAGCAGCTGGCTGTGCGATGTGAGGGCCCCTGCCCCTGCCCCACGGAGCAGGCCACCGGCTCCACCACGGATGGCAAAGCAGGTAATGCCGAGTGCCGGGCCACAGCCAGGGTGGGCGGGCCGGGTCTCCCCGCCAGGGCTCCGGGGTGGTTTGCAGAGCAGCAGGGAGAAGTGGCACAAGCAAGGACAGGCCTGGGGGTGGGCTGGCTGGTTAACAGAGCAGGAGGGCTTGGGCCACAGCCACAGGGAGCCTGTGCTGTGTGTTTAGTGCTGGGGAGTGAGGGGCAGGAAGAAGGCGGGGAGAGGGCGGGGAGGGAGCCTCCAATTTCTAGCTCCCTTTCTACAGCATCCCTGACAGCTGCCCGCCTCCTGGCCTGTAGGGCAGCATCTCAAGCTAAGATCATGCTTCACTCACCTCCCCCCGCCCCCACTCTGTCCTGCAGAGACCTGCACGGGTCAGGACCTGGCCGACCTGGGGGATCGACTGCGGGACTGGTTCCAGCTCCTGCATGAGAACTCCAAGCAGAACGGCTCAGCCAGCAGCGGAGGCGGCCCGGCCAGTGGTACAGGAGCCCGTTGCTCTGCCTGGGAGGAGGGGGGAGGTGGGGAGACAGGTGTGCCCTGGGGCCAGCCCGCCTTGTGCTCCCTCCTGCTAGACCAGGGGTGGGCAAACTTTTTGACTCGAGGGCCACAATGGGTTCTTGAACTGGACCGGAGGGCCGGAACAAAAGCATGGATGGAGTGTTTGTGTGGACTAATATAAATTCAAAGTAAACATCATTACATAAAAGGGTACGGTCTTTTTTTTTTTTTAGTTTTATTCATTTCAAACGGGCCGGATCCGGCCCGTGGGCCGTAGTTTGCCCACGGCTGTCCTAGACTCTGAGCCCCTAAAAGAGCCTAAACCTCAGAACAGGAGCAGCAGATTCAGGTTAGCTAATAGGAAGAACATCTTTTTTTTTTAAAAAGTTTTTTTTTATTGATTTCAGAGAGGAAGGGAGAGGGAGAGAGAGATAGAAATGTCAATGATGAGAGAGAATCATTGATCGGCTACCTCCTGCACACCCCCCACTGGGGATCGAGCCAACAACCCAGGCATGTGCCCTGACCGAGAATTGAACCGTGACCTCCTGGTTCATAGGTCAATGCTCAACTGCGTAGCAACACTGGCTGGGCAGAAAGAACTTCTTCAAATGGGTAGGGAGAGCTCTGGCTGGTGTTGCTAAGTGGTTAGAGCACTGGCCTGGGCACCGAAGGGTTGTGGGTTTGATTCCTGGTTAAGGGCATGTACCTGGATTGCAGGTTAGATCCCCGGCCCGGATGGGGTGTGTGCAGGAGGCATCCACTCAATGTGTCCCTCTCACAGCGATGTCCCCCCTCTCCCTCTTCCCTTCCACTCTCTCTAAAAATCAGTGGAAAAAATATCCTTGGGTGAGGATTAACAACAACCACAAAAATCTGTAGGGAGAGCTGAAATGTAGCCAAGAGCAGGTAAGGAATTATTTTCTCTGAAGGGCTTTCAAACAGGGTTTTGATGGTTTCGGTGCAGTTCTAGGTGGAGGCAGAGGGATGGATCTGGCCTGAACCAGAGGGCTGGGGCTCGGAGCGGTGGAGGGATGGACGGATGGACGGATGATGGATGGACGGATGGGCGGGGCTCTTTACCTTGAGCATGGTGGAACCTTGGTCTTCTCCCCAGGCCTGGACAAGGTCCTGGGCGCCAGCTGCAAGGACTCCATCGGCTGGATGTTCTCCAAGCTGGACACCAGCGCCGACCTCTTCCTGGACCAGACGGAGCTGGCCGCCATCAACCTGGACAAGTACGAGGTCTGCATCCGCCCTTTCTTCAACTCCTGCGACACCTACAAGGACGGCCGCGTCTCCACCGCCGAGTGGTGCCTCTGCTTCTGGAGGGAAAGTGAGTGGCCCTGGCTGGGCCCGGCCCCCCGCCCCCGGCTCAGCTCCCGCCCCCGCCCCAGGCTCCCTGTGGGGTCGGAGGGGCTCTGTCCTGGTCAGCCCACCCGCCCCTGGACTCTCTCAGTGAGGCCAGCACGTAAAGTCCCTCCTTGGCAGGCTGCCAGGTGAGTCCTGACGCTTATGCAGTTCGCCTTCTTAAAGGAAGAGCGTTACCAACAATCCATGTATCATTTCTGGGGACCCGTGGAGGGTGTTGGAAGGGGCGGGAGGGCCTGAAGCTAAAGCAGCTTGGGACTTGGGCTTCTCCATGATTCCACTGTGTGATCCTTAGCCTCAGAGATGTTGCATCAGATACTGAAACCCAAACAACTGCTACAGGGGATCACTTGCACTAGG